TCCAGAAACCAGGACCAGTCCTCCAGAACCACCAGGATCAGTCCTCCTGAACCACCAGGATCAGTCCTCCAGAACTAAAAATCAGTCCTCCAGAACTAAAAATCAGTCCTCCTGAACCCAGGATCAGTCCTCCAGAACCACCAGGATCAGTCCTCCAGAACCACCAGGATCAGTCCTCCTGAACCACCAGGATCAGTCCTCCAGGACAAGGATCAGTCCTCCAGAACTAAAAATCAGTCCTCCAGAACTAATAATCAGTCCTCCAGAACCACCAGGATCAGACCTCCAGAACCACCAGGATCAGTCCTCCAGAACCCAGGACCAGTCCTCCAGAAACACCAGGATCAGACCTCCAGAACCACCAGGATCAGTCCTCCAGAACCACCAGGATCAGTCCTCCTGAACCACCAGGATCAGTCCTCCAGAACTAAAAATCAGTCCTCCAGAACTAAAAATCAGTCCTCCTGAACCCAGGATCAGTCCTCCAGAACCACCAGGATCAGTCCTACAGAACCCAGGGTCAGTCCTCCAGAACCACCAGGATCAGTCCTCCAGAACTAAAAATCAGTCCTCCAGAACCACCAGGATCAGACCTCCAGAACCACCAGGATCAGTCCTCCAGAACCACCAGGATCAGTCCTCCAGAACCCAGGATCAGTCCTCCAGAACCACCAGGATCAGTCCTCCAGAACCACCAGAATCAATCCTCCAGAACTACCAGGATCAGTCCTCCAGAACCCAGGATCAGTCCTCCAGAACCACCAGGATCAGTCCTCCAGAACCCAGGGTCAGTCCTCCAGAACCCAGGATCAGTCCTCCAGAACCACCAGGATCAGTCCTCCAGAACCCAGGACAAGCCCTCCAGAACCCAGGATCAGCCCTCCAGAACCACCAGGATCAGTCCTCCAGAACCTAGGGTCAGTCCTCCTGAACCACCAGGATCAGTCCTCCAGAACCACCAGGATCAGTCCTCCAGAAACCAGGACCAGTCCTCCAGAACCACCAGGATCAGTCCTCCTGAACCACCAGGATCAGTCCTCCAGAACTAAAAATCAGTCCTCCAGAACTAAAAATCAGTCCTCCTGAACCCAGGATCAGTCCTCCAGAACCACCAGGATCAGTCCTCCAGAACCACCAGGATCAGTCCTCCTGAACCACCAGGATCAGTCCTCCAGGACAAGGATCAGTCCTCCAGAACTAAAAATCAGTCCTCCAGAACTAATAATCAGTCCTCCAGAACCACCAGGATCAGACCTCCAGAACCACCAGGATCAGTCCTCCAGAACCACCAGGATCAGTCCTCCAGAACCCAGGATCAGTCCTCCAGAACCACCAGGATCAGTCCTCCAGAACTACCAGGATCAGTCCTCCAGAACCACCAGGATCAGACCTCCAGAACCACCAGGATCAGACCTCCAGAACCACCAGGATCAGTCCTCCAGAACCACCAGGATCAGACTTCCGGAACCACCAGGATCAGTCCTCCAGAACCCAGGATCAGACCTCCAGAACCACCAGGATCAGTCCTCCAGAACCTAGGATCAGTCCTCCAGAACCACCAGGATCAGTCCTCCAGAACCTAGGATCAGTCCTCCAGAACCACCAGGATCAGACCTCCAGAACCCAGGATTAGTCCTCCAGAACCACCAGGATCAGTCCTCCAGAATCCAGAACCACCAGGATCAGTCCTCCAGAACCCAGGATTAGTCCTCCAGAACCACCAGGATCAGACTTCCGGAACCACCAGGATCAGTCCTCCAGAACCCAGGATTAGTCCTCAAAAACCACCAGGATCAGACCTCCAGAACGACCAGGATCAGTCCTCCAGAACCTAGGATCAGTCCTCAAAAACCACCAGGATCAGTCCTCCAGAACCTAAGATCAGTCCTCAAAAACCACCAGGATCAGTCCTCCTGAACCACCAGGATCAGTCCTCCAGAACTAAAAATCAGTCCTCCAGAACTAAAAATCAGTCCTCCTGAACCCAGGATCAGTCCTCCAGAACCACCAGGATCAGTCCTCCAGAACCACCAGGATCAGTCCTCCTGAACCACCAGGATCAGTCCTCCAGGACAAGGATCAGTCCTCCAGAACTAAAAATCAGTCCTCCAGAACTAATAATCAGTCCTCCAGAACCACCAGGATCAGACCTCCAGAACCACCAGGATCAGTCCTCCAGAACCCAGGACCAGTCCTCCAGAAACACCAGGATCAGACCTCCAGAACCACCAGGATCAGTCCTCCAGAACCACCAGGATCAGTCCTCCTGAACCACCAGGATCAGTCCTCCAGAACTAAAAATCAGTCCTCCAGAACTAAAAATCAGTCCTCCTGAACCCAGGATCAGTCCTCCAGAACCACCAGGATCAGTCCTACAGAACCCAGGGTCAGTCCTCCAGAACCACCAGGATCAGTCCTCCAGAACTAAAAATCAGTCCTCCAGAACCACCAGGATCAGACCTCCAGAACCACCAGGATCAGTCCTCCAGAACCACCAGGATCAGTCCTCCAGAACCCAGGATCAGTCCTCCAGAACCACCAGGATCAGTCCTCCAGAACCACCAGAATCAATCCTCCAGAACTACCAGGATCAGTCCTCCAGAACCCAGGATCAGTCCTCCAGAACCACCAGGATCAGTCCTCCAGAACCCAGGGTCAGTCCTCCAGAACCCAGGATCAGTCCTCCAGAACCACCAGGATCAGTCCTCCAGAACCCAGGACAAGCCCTCCAGAACCCAGGATCAGCCCTCCAGAACCACCAGGATCAGTCCTCCAGAACCTAGGGTCAGTCCTCCTGAACCACCAGGATCAGTCCTCCAGAACCACCAGGATCAGTCCTCCAGAAACCAGGACCAGTCCTCCAGAACCACCAGGATCAGTCCTCCTGAACCACCAGGATCAGTCCTCCAGAACTAAAAATCAGTCCTCCAGAACTAAAAATCAGTCCTCCTGAACCCAGGATCAGTCCTCCAGAACCACCAGGATCAGTCCTCCAGAACCACCAGGATCAGTCCTCCTGAACCACCAGGATCAGTCCTCCAGGACAAGGATCAGTCCTCCAGAACTAAAAATCAGTCCTCCAGAACTAATAATCAGTCCTCCAGAACCACCAGGATCAGACCTCCAGAACCACCAGGATCAGTCCTCCAGAACCACCAGGATCAGTCCTCCAGAACCCAGGATCAGTCCTCCAGAACCACCAGGATCAGTCCTCCAGAACTACCAGGATCAGTCCTCCAGAACCACCAGGATCAGACCTCCAGAACCACCAGGATCAGACCTCCAGAACCACCAGGATCAGTCCTCCAGAACCACCAGGATCAGACTTCCGGAACCACCAGGATCAGTCCTCCAGAACCCAGGATCAGACCTCCAGAACCACCAGGATCAGTCCTCCAGAACCTAGGATCAGTCCTCCAGAACCACCAGGATCAGACCTCCAGAACCCAGGATTAGTCCTCCAGAACCACCAGGATCAGTCCTCCAGAATCCAGAACCACCAGGATCAGTCCTCCAGAACCCAGGATTAGTCCTCCAGAACCACCAGGATCAGACTTCCGGAACCACCAGGATCAGTCCTCCAGAACCCAGGATTAGTCCTCAAAAACCACCAGGATCAGACCTCCAGAACGACCAGGATCAGTCCTCCAGAACCTAGGATCAGTCCTCAAAAACCACCAGGATCAGTCCTCCAGAACCTAAGATCAGTCCTCAAAAACCACCAGGATCAGACCTCCGGAACCACAAGGATCAGTCCTCCAGAACCCAGGATTAGTCCTCCAGAAACACCAGGATCAGACCTCCAGAACCACCAGGATCAGACCTCCAGAACCACCAAGATCAGTCCTCCAGAACCCAGGATCAGACCTCCAGAACCACCAGGATCAGTCCTCCAGAACCCAGGATTAGTCCTCCAGAACCACCAGGATCAAACCTCCAGAACCACCAGGATCAGACCTCCAGAACCACCAAGATCAGTCCTCCAGAACCACCAGGATCAGTCCTCCAGAACCCAGGATCAGACCTCCAGAACCACCAGGATCAGACCTCCAGAATCACCAGGATCAGTCCTCCAGAACCACCAGGATCAGACCTCCAGAACCACCAGGATCAGACCTCCAGAACCACCAGGATCAGACCTCCAGAATCACCAGGATCAGACCTCCAGAACCACCAGGATCAGTCCTCCAGAACCCAGGATCAGACCTCCAGAACCACCAGGATCAGTCCTCCAGAACCCAGGATCAGACCTCCAGAACCACCAGGATCAGACCTCCAGAACCACCAGGATCAGTCCTCCAGAAACTCTGGATCCTGGTAGAATATGTTATTGGAGTTTAATAAATACTCACAGAAGTTTGTTTGAGATATTTATAAGAACAAGAAAAAAGAGAGGAAAAAGGGAATTGCTTCAAAGAGAATCAAGTTACAGAAAGAAATCAGAATAATAAAACAAATGTAATTTTAACCATTCAGGCCCTCAAGATATAATCACCTTAAAGGGAAATATTCCATTCATAACATATCCTTAAGATATGGCAGGAGCCAAGTGATAATGATGTTATAGGAAGACATTTCTATAGGTTACCATAGATCAGATAGTGGAAGCCAGAGAGAAAATGATCATGACTCAATAAAAAACTGGACATAAAGTCTGAACAATTATTTCTTCTAAATAGAAAAACATCAGATTTTTTGTTATTTCAGTTCATCAGAAACCTGAAACATGTCCAAATAGAAATCATCAATTATAAAGAAGAAAGCACTAAAGCTTAAAAGCAGGTCTTAGTAAAGAGGGAAGGTCGTTTTCTTTAACATTAGAACATATATTTACAAATATTTGTAATCATTCAATAAGATATCTTTAACATATAGAGTTATTAAACTGTGTTTAAATATTAAATGTTTACATTATGGCATAAACATGCGATTTATCTCTTCCGGTCTACTAGGTGGCGGTAAACACACCTTGAATCGGTTCGGCAGTATAAATTTAAATTCCTAAAGAGAAGAAGAAGAAGAAAGAGGCGGCACCTCGACACCAATACAAACCAAAGAAGAAGAGATTGGGCGCGGGTTGTTTGAGTTTCGGTGAGTTTGATAACATATAAACAACCTTCATTATTGTTTTTCTTATGAATTGTTTTAAATCAGAATAATTTTGATAAAAACGTCACAATAAACCGACGTCCCCATGCTATTAAAATAACCCGAATAAACTTTACTTAAACCCGCTTAGTTTAGAGATGGTCTTCCAGCCAGACTCTGCTTAAATTTGGCCAGTTTTTAGATTTTTAGCTTCTTTTTCAGATAAATTAATCAGGCAAAGACACAGAGAAGATAATTTACTGATGATTTGGATTAACACACACGTTCGGCCTCGTAGTTAGCTTTAATTATGAGAGATTTATTTGAGTTTTTACGTCCGGATGTGTATTTTATAAAACTTGCTCATAAAAGCCAGACTTCAAAGATCTTTTCTGAATCAAGTCAGGCTCCGCATGTCAAGCCGCATTCATTAGGTTTCATCTAAAGGACGCGTCGCTGGTTTAATGTCACTAAATGAGACAGATTTAACTGATCAGTTTCCGTGCAGTCGATCCAGAGTTCACAGAAAAAACGTGAACGCGCACCGTGTTTAGATCAAAGCAGCAGCTCCTGGTAGATAGAAGCTCCTGAGGGGTTTTAGAAATGACTGAAAGAAAAAATAAGATAAATATTAATCCATCAATTAAACAAGGGGACAGGGGACTGTTGCTGACACACTGACTAAATGTGTAAATTGTCACCGTTTCATCCTGTAACTTCATTATTTTAGTGGGAATGTTGTCAAATTCTTCCGTCCCATTTTAGTCTAGTTACAATCTAGATAGTTCAGCTCTATAAACTCTGTTTACTTCCGGTTTAGTCGGTAAGATATCACTGTTGATTAGTGGTGTTTAATAAGGCATCTTGAAGCGCTTAGATTCATTACCAAACTGTATTGATGCTGTGTTGATACTGTTGCAGAATACTGACACCTGCTGGACATTTAAGGACACTACAGGCAGCTTATTTGACTAAACTGAATTGATTTGATGATCCAGTACAATGATATCATTTAAGTTATTCTAGGTTATATTGTATTAATTCATATAACTTCATATTTAAATAGAAAATATTTTTTATATTTTTAGATGCAGCAATAAATAATATAAACATGAAAATTTAGGGGAAAATGTGAGTGAGGATGGTTGCGGAACCGGATTTTAAATAATTATAAAACAATAAGTACAGTAAAAACAGTATATAAACTAAGAGTCAATTTGAAATCAACTTAAGGATGACATAACGAGAAAATAAAAATAAAAACGCAGTGGCTGATCCGTTCCTTTTCCTTTTAGGCTGCTCTAATACTCATCATTTTAATGATAAACGGCTAATGATTTTTGGTTTTGTTTATTTTTAGCAGATTCGTGGCATTGACGGATCTGTTTTTAAACACAGTTTAGAGCGTCAGTCAGACAGAAACAGCTCCTGTATCGGTTGCCTGACTTTCTGGAAACTGACACACTCTATGAGCTTGATGCATCGCTGTTGCTGGATCAATCACTAGATCCTCTAAACAATCACACAACGTAGCATCAGCTCCACTTCAGAACAGATCTAGAGACCAGCATGACTTTGTTCCAGGTGTGGGAAGCAGTTCTCCCGTCATGGAGTCCACAGAGAATAGGTATGCCCACCTGCTGCAGCCAATCAGAGAGCTCACCAAGAACTGGGACATCGACGTGGCGTCTGAGCTCAACGACTACCTAGAGGAGGTAAACTGTGTGTGAATGCAGTGTGGTTGAGATGAATCTCCGAGGACTGAGAGGCTTCTGCTGCTCAACTCGTCTTCTCTCCATCAGCTGGATGAGATGTGCATCACCTTCGATGGAGGGAAAACCAGGCTGAACTTTGCAGAAGCTGCGCTGCTCATTCAGGGATCCACCTGCATTTACAGCAAGAAGGTGGGTGAGGAGGGCGGAGCCATGATGGGAGGTCAGCTGGGTGGGTGGAGATATCGGGGGGGGGTGAAGGTGTCTCTTCTTGAGGGTCTCTGCTTGTTCCAGGTTGAGCTTCTTCACACCCTGGTTTACCAAACGCTGGAGTACATCAATGACAAGAACAAGAAGTAAGCAGCGCCGTCACAGCTGGAGGGAGGGGGGGCCGGGTCAGGGGGGGTCTCATGGTTCCGGTTCTGTTCTGGTTTCTTTACAGGCGGAGCAAAGAGGCGGCGGAGGCTCAGAACGGCGCTGCAGGGGAAACGCAGACGAGCTACGATGACGACGACGCGTCTGTGAGAACAAAGGCCTACCTTTTGGTTTGGCGGTTTGTCCAGGGCATTCTGGGTAATGTAGTCTGTCCTCCGTCTCCTTCAGTTCACTGCTCTGGACCTGGAGGTGCGTGACTCGTTCCAGAGGTCGGACAACAGCACGGTGAGTTTGAGCCCTGCGGACGCCTGGAGAAGCCTGGGGATCTCCTCACTGACACACATGGTTCCTTTCAGAGCGTCAGGATCGTTCCTCTTCCTCCTGAATCGCTGATTCCTCCTGAAACCCAGGAGAAGAACAAGCTGCCTCTCATCAGGTCTGCTGTCCTGAACTGTCCTGGTCCCTGACCTGCTCTGCTCTGACTGACCGCTGTCTCTGGCTCTCAGTGTGAAGGGCGAGGTGGTGTGCAGCCAGAAGGACTTCAGGATGAACCTGTTCATCCCAGGATCGAAGGACTTGATCCTGCTAATTCCTCGATCGACCGCGTCTTCCAGTTTCCTGCTGGATCAGCACCTTGAACCCTTCGCCACACAGCATCCAGGTTGGTTCTTCTGTTGCAGGACTTCTCGGTTTTCTGTAGCGAGAAGGTTCCTCAGATGAGAAACGGGTATGAGACAGATTCTCTATGTATCCATAGCAACCTAACAGACCTAGAACCTGCTAAGATGATCAGAACAGGTTTCTAGATATCAGAAGAACTTTGGACACACTGATGTGTTTGAATTTATGGGCTGCATCTTCCAAGGACGCGGTAAACCTGGACTGGATCCTTTGAAGTATGTGAAAATAAGGAATTCAAACAGGTCCAGCCTTCGACGGCCTTCGCCGCCTATGCTCTGTTGCTTAGCAACAGTGATGGTTGATACACAAAGCAGGGAAAGTGGAATACCGAACTTTCCAAACTGTTTCTTTTTAAAGTCTTAAGGAAGCAGCTGTTCCAATCGTTGCATTTCCAAATTCTCCAGAGTGGTTCACGACTTTAAATGAGTGAATAAAGTGAATGTGATTGGTCGATTATCAAGGGGGCGGGATTGTTGTGGCGGAAGGTTTGCAAGCTCTTTGATTGTGGCCGGTTTGTCGGAAGCATCTTGCTAACCAGTTAGCAACTTAATGGTAGTAGGTTCCCAATGGGAAATTCCATTGGGACCAAGTAGCACTAAACTGGTGACTGTACGAGACGAGTTGTAGGCAGCATAACGAGGAGTCTTGGAATCCGACCAGACCTCTATGATGTAATTGGCCTTCGAATCTGGCCATTCGGAGGACGCATCTCTTAAATTCGAACACAACCATTCAGAAGCTGTAACTGGTCTAAATCTTAGTGAGAACTGGTTAAACTGGACCCTTCCTCTGGTTTTTTGCGCCCTGCTGTGTCTGGGTTTCTCCTAGTGGTTGGAGGACTCCGCTGCCAGTTTAATGACGCCATGCTTCCTCCCTCCTGCAGCTGAAGCTCCGGCCGCCTTCGATCAAGACGATGACGGCGCAGCCGACGCTGCTGAGAACTTCCTTCCTGTCGAGGACATGGAACAGGAACCAGAGGAACATGTGGAGCGCCAACAGACCTCAGTACTTAGACCCATCTAAATCCTCCTGGTGTCTGAGCTGCTGCGGGTTTCCCAACTTGCTAACCGGGTTCTGTTTCAGGCTCCAAGTGACGGCCGGATGATCCGGGAGAGACGGAATGTGGAGAAGCAGACGGAGGAGATGATCCCAGCTGCTGTAAGACCTGAACAAAGGGTCCACTTATCTACTCTGCCTATAAAAACCCACCATCATGTCATCATGTTAGGAATCAGTGGTGAACGCTGTCACCATCTGCTGGTAGTGCTCTGCCACGCATCCACTAACTGGAGCTTTAGTTCCACTGCAGCTCCGTTCTTAAAGCCCTTTATTTACTAACAAATGGAGCAAAACCAAAGTATAAAAAAAATATACTGATACAACATATATAAATTATATCATTTAACCAGAGCACATTAGACTGCAAACAGAGTAAGCTGTTGGTGTAGAAATTCTATTCAGTTTATTCATATAGCGCCAATTCACAGCACGTCATCTCAAGGCACTTTACAGTTCACCTAAATCATTCAGACAGATTGATCAAACTTTTCTCTCTAAGGAAAACCAGTTGACTGCATCGACTCATTGACTCAAATGCAATCCCTCACACTAAGCATGCTTGTAGCGACAGTGGAGAGGAAAAACTCCCTTTTAACAGGAAGAACAATTCAGCAGAACCAGGCTGAGTGTGAGCGGCCATCTGCTGAGGCCGACTGGGGTTCAAGGAGACAGAAGCAGAGATACAGAAAGCAGCTGTAAAAGGCGTCCAGGAAACACACAGACTCCCATGTCAGTCTCGTATACAAAACGATTTTTATTTTGTTTTTTGCCCTTTTTGGGACAGAACAGGCTACTGCGGGTACTATTTAATGAAGATGCCAGTTGGGGACCTGTGAGGCGTCTGTTTCTCAAACTAGAGACTCTGATGTACTTATCTTCTTGCTCAGTTGTGCAACGCGGCCTCCCACTTCTTTTTCTACTCTGGTTATAGCCTGTTTGTGCTGTCCTCTGATGGGAGTAGTACACAATTTCTCGCATGGAATAGCCTTCATTTCTAAGAAGAATAATAGTCTGTCGAGTTTCAGATGAAAGTTCTCTTTTTCTGTCCATTTTGAGCGTTTAATTGACCCCGCAAATGTGATGCTCCAGAAACTCAATCTGCTCAAAGGAAGGTCAGTTTTATAGATTCTGTAACGAGTTAAACTGTTTTCAGATGTGTGAACATGATTGCACAAGGGTTTTCTAATCATCAATTAGCCTTCTGAGCCAATGAGCAAACACATTGTTCCATTAGAACACTGGAGTGATAGTTGCTGGAAATGCGCCTCTATACACCTATGTAGATATTGCACCAAAAACCAGACATTTGAAGCTAGAATAGTCATTTACCACATTAGCAATGTATAGAGTGTATTTCTTTAAAGTTAAGACTAGTTTAAAGTTATCTTCATTGAAAAGTACAGTGCTTTTCCTTCACAAATAAGGATGTTTCAATGTGACCCCAAACTTTTGAACAGTAGTGTACATCGTGAGCCACGAATGTTTAAACGTTTTGTCGTACAGTGTGAGATGTAGCTGGGTGCAACAATCAAAAAAATCGTACCGTGTATACAGTCAGAGAAACGACTACTCTGGAAAAACAGGCCGATCTCGAACATCTATACAAGGAAAGTTTTTACTTTCTACTTTAATAAATTCTAGGAACCACTAGTAGATTGAGAGTTCCAGTCCTGTTCTGTTTCAGGAGGACGCCTGGAGTCTCCATGATCCCTACTCTGTCTTGAAAGCAGACGAGCCCTTAAAAGCAGGTGAGCGTCGCTGCTGCAGGTCACTTCCTGTTTGCCTACAGCTCTGAAGGCGTTCTGCCTCCTCTCCAGGAAAGTACTACAAAGTTCCCGATGGCCTCGATGATGGAGGGAAGAGGAAGAGGAAGCGAGCGGCACCCCTGCAGGACTTCAGGAGCTGGTTCAGAGGAGCCTGTGAGTTCCAGCTGCTGCTTCTCTGTACTGAATGATTCCTCCGTCTCATTGCTGTGTGTCTGTTCCAGTCAATCAACCAGTGGTGAAGCTGAAGGTCGGGCCCACGTTCCTAGGTACCACAGAACCGTCACTGAAACGCTGACAGGAGGCATAGAGCTGCTAACTGAAGCTTTGTGATGTTTTAGACCTCAACTACATCTACCAGAGCACCATCAAGGACAAAGTGAGGAGACAGAGGAGGATCTGCAGGCGAGTGGTGAGTCCACCCAAACCGGGAAGCCTCCAGTAAAGTGGGTCCAAACTAAAGCAACCGTTTCCTGCTGGGGAGGAACGTCTGCGGAGACGTTTTCCTTTGGACCCAAGCTGCTGCTGCTGGTCATGGATCTGGTTCCACTGGACAGTCGGACCTGTTCTGGTTTGGACTGGTTCCAGGATCCACTTTCTAGTTTTTAAATGTGAGACTTGGACCAACGGAACGGCACCGTTTGAGATGGTTCTGGAACAATTAGTTGTGATTAATCGATTATTGACATAATCCTCGACTAATTAAGTAATCGAGTAATCAATAATTGGAGTATTCTGACTGTAAAACATGGCTTTAACTGACAGAGGGATCCATTAATTATACCAAGATTGCAAAAAATATATATAAACAGCTTGCAATTAAGATAAATAAACCTTTTTCATCTGTCAATATGCTGCAATCATCTGAGCCACTTTGGACCCCCTCCAGCGGCCCTTAATAGTGGCTAAAATGAATATGAAGAGCTAAAAAATGTACTATAATAAATACCAGTGTTTTTTTTATAAGACAGGAAAAAATACGATTAAAAAAAACAGAAATCTGTTTTAAGAGACATTTTTCTGTTTTTCAGTTACTGTGGAAATTGTGTTTTAATATTATTTTTAAAGATAAAAATACAGGAATTGTTGATTGTTTAAGATGGCAACTAATTTCTTATACAAGATTAAAAAAATAAAAAATATTTTTTTTGAAAAACTTTTCAAAAAAACATGACTTTTTTTTTTTTAAAGTCATGTTACATTTTGCGGCTCTAAAAAACTTTTACTTGGTCGGTCTCGGGGAAAAGGGCTCTTCGGATACGAAAGGTTGCAGACCGCTGCAGAACTCCACAAGTGGAAATGTTTTAGTTTCACTCTGTTTTATTCTATTCAAAGTCTCTTTTGCTTTCAAATTATTAATAGATTAATTAAAAAATAATTGACGGATGAATCAATTAGAACAATCATTAGGTGCAGCCCTAGTTTGATGTTCTCCTGGCTGAAAACGCAGTTGGACACGAGGACCAAAATTTTCAGAGCTTTTATTTTGAAAGAGTGAATTAGTTCATCAAAGGATTGGATGTTTGAAACTGTTGCATTATTTCTGATGATGTTTTTTCTGTTTTTAATTGGGGCGGTTAAAGGGGTTGGGAACGTCGGAAAAGGAGCTGAAGAGGACCTTCCTGCAGCCAGAGGAGGCGGAGCCTGTGGAGGACTTCAGATGTGCCGAGTTGCTGGGTAAGTTTCATTTCCAAAGGTTATCTTCAGTTGGAACCATCAGCTGAGCCTCATGTTTCTGCTGTTTAAAAGAAAACAAAGAGCCAGGAGCTCATTTTTCTGAGGTTCAGCGAATGCATCACGGCGTGGAGATGTTGAACTGCCGTGTAGGTACCAGATCTGCAGACCTGACGTCAACATATGGCAACTCCACTCAGACAAACTGTAGACACCCGTTTCTTAAGGATCAAATCTCTTTTGGAGTCTCAACATATTATTACCTATATTTGCTATTATTTTACATTTCATCTGCGATCTAAAGTAGCCGAAAGTAGAAAACAATCGTCAGTCTTGAAGGAAAGTTCTGCGTTCTAAAACTAATCTCTATTTAACAAGGTGAAAAAAAGGTCTTAGTTGATTTTTTTTTCTTTTTACGGTTGTTGTTGATTCAAATTTAAAAGTAGTGTAGCTTAAAGTGGCTAACTGACTGAGCTAAAATAGGCTAACCTGTTAGCTACTGAGCACAGCTAGCCTGGTCTAACAGTTACTTTGTTCACCATAAACAGATTTTTTTCATTTTTGTATCGATCAGGTAAAACTTCATGGGTCATTAGGCACGCTAACAGCCCGCTGTGTGATGTTATTATCGTTGTCTGGATAACTGCTATGTTTTACATCATGTGGCAACATTCAGCCAATCATTTAGCGTAAAGTCACTGGCATGAAGCAGGACCCCAGCAGATCTGGTTCCTACACCGGCCTGATGACACCGGGTTAAATTAAAGAGAAAAGGAAAACGATTTTCTGTTAGGAAGTTTTTATTTAGGAGGAATGTTCAGAACTGGTTATGTTTTACCTTCTGGGGGTTATTTAAAGGAAAAGTCCGGTCAGCAAGGAATAACCAATGGATCATTATCTATACCTAAAAGTAATACGTTCGCGATAATTTAATGAATTTAGCGTTAATCAGTAAAAAAAAAAAATAATAATTTTCGTAGCAATCACTGAGGCTTGGAGCGGCCATTTTTGTCCAAATATAGTAGCCCCTCCCTCCTGCCGTCTTCCAGCAGTGACGTCACGGTGCGGTAAGCCTAGCGCCATTGTCCCCGCTTTACAAGCAAAATCAATGGGAACTACTAGACACATCTGCAATCAACAACAATTATTTACGTGCATGGCAGTTGGATGTTCATTTATTGAACAGCATGTCCACACTATGATGCATTCGCTGACCCTATGGAAAGTTTGCTGATCCGTGCTAACGGGTCTGTACGCTCCTCCTTTAGGTGCCGACAACGACGACTCGGACATGGAACCTGACGGGTTTCCTGATGACATTCCTGCAGAGTTTGCCGGAGCTCCAGACTTCAGCCCTGCAGGTAAAACCCTCGATCAGATCCAATGCAAGTGAACGGAAGAAGAGAGGCGTTCCTCAGGGATGTTTTCCTTTTGCTTGTCTACAGAGGCTCAGAAGGACAATCTGACGTACGAAGACTTGGTGATGCTCCGGGTTGTAAGTGATCAGCATCATCGGTGACTCCAGACCGGATCGGCCCTCTGAACAGGACTGATTCTGTTCTCTGTGCTGCCTTCAGGAGCAGATGGTGGTGAACAGTCAGGGCTACGCCCAGGAGACGGCTCTATCCCGCAGAGTCAAGGAGTGGGAGGAAAAGATCCGGCCTGAGCTGGCGCTGCAGGTGGGAGCGGGGCTGGGAGAACCGCCCGGCGTTCCCAGTCTTCACCTGCATCTCACCGATCCTGTTTGCTTTTTAGGAGGAACGCCCCCCGTTTGACATCCACGACTACGGCGAGCGGATCGTCAGAGAGCTCGGCGACGTCGGCCGGCGGCGGTTGTTCGCTTCCATCGTTAGTGGTTTGGACAACATGGAGGCCTGCAAGTACATGCTGGCTTCGCTGCAGCTGGTAAGCCTCTGGAGCTGCAGCCCGATCCGGACCAGAAATAGGCCCGGTCCGTGATGTTTATGGTCTGTCCTTCCTGGACCCTGCTGACTTCATGAAAACTTTTATTAAAAGACTCATTTGGGAGTTTCTAATAGGGGATATATCGAATATACTCCATATATCTCCATTTTTCCCCACGCACCATAGTTAAAATGACTCTCGCAGCCTTCAAGTACAAATTCGAAAACGACATTAAGCCGTCTGCACTTGGGACCGTTCGGTTCGACTGTCTCTGTTCGGTTCGCGTGTGTTTCGTTCGGTTCATGTGCTGCTCCTTTCTCTCATAGGCGAAGCGTTTACACTCCAGAGCAGAAGGTGGCGGTACTGCGACCAAAGCCAACCACCAGTAGTAAACAAGAAGAAGAAGAAGCGAAGCAGCGTAGCAGAAAAAAATCAGTTGTTGTGGAGAATTGTGTGGGTATGGCGAGTGGGAAAGAACAGGAGTTGGAAGACGCGCCAGCAGCACTTTATAGGTCTGCTGTATGGGACCACTTTGCATTTAGAGTGACCTACGATGACGGCGGAAAGAAAGTTGTGGATAAAAGTGCAACAGTGTGCAAGCATTGTGCAACACGTGTTGTTTATGCTAACAGCAACATGACCAACATGTCAGGCTATCAATTTAACCGATACCGAACCGAAAACCGTGAACTGAACCGTGGATTTTGTGAACCGTTCCACCCCTAATCTGCACCTATATCATTGAGTTTTAATTTTCCCACACACTTTGAATGCTACATAAACCCCTCCTCCAAACAGGAATATTTCTGCGCGGCACACTACAGCAACCGGCAAACAAAATATGGCGACAGCAGGTGTTTCAGATGAGCAACATTCAGTGTTCTGTATGTTGCTATCAGTCCCATAGAATGACTTCAGATTGTGCCTCTAGGCTCAGATTATTGTTTTCTACTTAAAAAGACACTTTAGATTTTAAAATAGAAAGATATTCTTCTTTTTATATATATATATCTAATTTATTTATTTTTTTTTCTTATTCAAAAATTCAATGTATAACATGGATGCATAAAAACCTCATTTTATTTCAGTGTTAAATTCTGTTTAAGGTAACTGATTGTAATTAAAAATTTCTCTGGACCGTGGGGAATTAATGAATCTATTGATGTCTAATCTGAAAAGAATTTCAGTAGTTCTTCATGTACTGTATAAATAAATAAAAGTGATCTGCATGTCGTTTATGTTAAACTAAAAACAAATCTCATATCCTGTCAACTGAGGTGTAGAATCCTCTCTCTATAGATTTTAATTCTCTGTGGAAAAAAACCCTGATTATTCTTTAATAAGATCCTCATCTAACAGACATGCAATGTTTTTTTTTACTAATGTGAGCGCTGGAGCGTTTTTGTTGTTTTTAAGCACAAAACTACGACAAAAACCTGAATTAATGGGGAAAAAACAGCGTGATTGGCTGTAAGGAGAGCAGAAACAGGACACACTATGTAATGCGTGTTACTGTGGGTATGCTGGCCTGATGGGGTATGCTGAGCTGACAGAACACCGGCGGGCTGCGGTGGTTTGGATTCCGACCCGAGGACCTCGAACAAAAGGCGCTAATTCGCAAGACAATTGCTGCAAAAAGTAGGAGTACAAATTTATTCCACCACCTAAAAAGTAATCCACTGCAAAATAAAGAATGATGTAAACTCTGCATGGCAGCGTCTCCCAGCACACCTTTTAAAATGTTAAATAAATCAGCTGTGGAGTCGATAACGTCGGCATCGTTTGAAAAATGTATCCCATATGAGAGGAAAGGGAAAGCACAGATGCTATTTATTAGGTTATTTAAATGTTTTTTAGAAGCTCTAATACCTGTGATGTGATGCGTTCTAATCAGAGATTTTGCCGGCGTTTTCTAAACTTGGCAATGTTCTCAAACTTTTTGAGCCTCTTTAAAATTCCCAGCAGGTAAATATCAGTGTAAATAGTTTGGAAATGCTCTAATATTTGGACTGTATTTCCATTTTTCTTTTGTTGTAATTTTAAGTCAGTTTCTTTTTTTCATTCTGCATTTTTTTAGTATGCACAAAATAGCCCTTTTATATTTTGCATTTTATTTAGTATTGCATGTTTTTGCTTTGCTTCCTGTTTGGTTGCTGGGATCTTGTTAAAGGTCTAAAACAGACATCAAATGTCGCTTGGCTCTGGTCCTAAAGCAGTTTTTCTGGTATGCTTCTGTAACGTCGGGCTGGAATTTCTAGTGACGCACTGCAGTTGCCCGCCAAAGCACCAGGGGGAGTCTATTTGAGAACTCACAAGAAATTCCGCGGATGGTCACAAGAACTTCGGCAGCGGCGGCGGGAGTGTTTGGCTGTTTCTCAATATGCGTTCTTGAGTGTTCTGTTATGGTCGTGACACGTCATCAGCCTCAGCCGAACACTGTTCCAATCTCCGAGAACGCACCAAATCCCAGGATGTTGTTCTCTCCCCTCCCTCTTTACCCAGCATGCATCAGAGCAGACTTGTCCGTTCTAGAGATTGACAGCTGTCCCAGCATGCACTGCAGCAGCAGCTTTCAATTGTGCGCTCCATTGAAAGTTAAAAGATCTCTTTCTGTTCCTGTTGTTCAATAAAAATACGTTTTAAGATCATTTGAGGCGAGAATATTTTACTTTAAAGTGTCACTATATGGTCCATTTACCAATTGAATACGTAATAAAAAAAAAAAAAAAGATCACTGAAGTTGAGGACCGCAGCAACCAGCGGAGCTCCAAAGCTAACGGCTTAGCCGTGTGTGAAGGACCACTGGTTCTGATGGCGAGTTTTTTTGTTTTATTTTGCAAAATGTTTGTTTGATTTGTGTTTATCTGACTGTGTTCAATATTATTCCCCCACTAAATGAAAAAAGTTCGAATTTATTCTTATCTAGAGACTATTAATACCAGGAGGTGAAATGCAGCTCTAGACGAGCCGAGCGTAAGGTGATGTCATCAGTACGCTTCTGTTCCAATTGACCCATATTAATGCTGCGTGCTTCCGTTCTCACAAAGTCTAGACTTTCCTGTGTTCTTCTCAAGAAAGTACTTGGCGCAAGTCCATACTCGCTTTCTAGTGAATTGAGAAACGGCCCAAAACAACAATGGCGCCTCTGCAGGACATCACGGTGACGGAGATGGATCTAGAGTTGCTAGGCATCGAAGAGAAGCCAACGTCCTCGATTAACCTTTTGTCCATTGTAGTTGTTCCGCGGTTTTTAAAAACGGTGCGCCCCGGCACCGAATCGAGCAGGAGGGCCATACAGACAGCTGGAGATTTTTGCTGGAGGTGCGTGGCGATGGTTGCAGAACCTCTGCGCGGGGGGCGTGTTCACGCACAGAGACACATTTGATGTTTGCAGAGGCGTCAGAACCATAAATTGGCCTTAAAGACATCATGTGGCAGAATTATTAGTGAAAAGCTTTGAGCTGGTTTAAGTAAAATTTAATTTGAAACCAAAAGTTTGAATCAGTGCAATTTTATCCACTCTATTGTTTTTTAATTTACTTTAAACATTGCGATATATATGGCTATATAGCCCAAATATGTGTTGTGATATTAGATTTTCTTCATATCACTCTGCCCTAATTTCTAACAGGACGTGTTCTCAAGCAAAGAAGATGAATTATTCGTTGAATTTAGATGTTTATTTGGGGGAAACCTCATGGCTGAGGTTCTGATCCAAACTGTGTTTGTCGCCCTCTGCAGGCCAACGACTACACGGTGGAGATCGACAGCACCGTGGGTCTGGAGGGCGTGGACACCATGGCCCTGACCCTGCTCAGCACCCAGAGGGCCACGGACCGCTTCCACACCTTGTCTGGGCTGTGAGACGGCGCCATCCAACTTTAACAGAACCCCTTCTTTCTCTTTTCATAATTCTAATAAAACATTCACTTTATTTCGTACATCTGTTCTCCTGGAAAATCCTTTTAATCCACAAACCCAAAGATCAAGGAGTCCAGTTCTTTTATTTAAATTCTCACAGTAAACATGTTTGAAGAAACAAAGTCACCATAGGAGGTGCAGAACCCGTCCGCCCAGAGTCCACCGCTACATGTGGTTCTGTCTACAGTCTGACGTAGTTCTGGATGTGGTTCCTGATGCTCTCCACAATCTGCTCCTGCTTCTTCATCCTGTTGTAGTAATCCAGAAACAGTCCGTCCGGGCTCACCAGGTAGATCAGGATGGTGTGGTCCACAATGTAGTCCCCGTCCTCGTCTTTGGGTCCAGGGCTGGCGTACACCCTGTAGTCCCGGCCTGCATGCGTCACCTCCTCCGGGGTGCCGGTCAGCCCGATCAGGCGGGGGTGAAAGTCTTTGACGTAGCGGGCCAGCGCCGCCACGTCGTCCCTCTCCGGGTCCACTGTGATGAAGAGCGGCTGGACGGCTGGCAGGGAGGGATCCTGGTCCAGAGCAGAAACCACCGCGCTGAGCTTGTCCAGCTCGTCCGGACAGATGTCGGGACAGTGCGTGAAGCCGAAGTACATCAGGACCCAACTGCCCAGAAAATCCTCCTTGGTCCGGCGCCGGCCCGTGTGGTCCAGCAGACTGAATGTCCCCTGACCCAGCGCCACCTTCCTAAGCTGCTCCACGCGCTGCTGTCGGAGTCTCTGCTGCTTCTCAGAGTCCACGTACCACCACACACCCAGCAGACCTCCTCCAAACAGCAGCGTGACCCCCAACCGGGTCCGCAGCTTCAGCCTGGCCTGAGAGGAGGACGAAGAGCCTGGCGCCTGGCAGTAGAACCGGGTCTGAGACTGGACTGACCTCCGGAGACGCAGCAGGGATCCACCTCCTGTGCGGAGATCTTTGAAGATCCTCATTCCCAACATGATCGACCACTGCAGAGAAAAACCGACACTTCCAGGTTAAACAAGTGACGGAGCAAATGCTTTGTTAGCATTCACTTCACCAGGACACGACCAACAGATGATCAAAGGTTTCCTGTAAATAACCGATTGGTTAACTGGGCTGTGTCAATGTAGCTAAAACATTTGGACGTATAAAATAAGAATTTTCATAAGAAAAATGGTTTAATAAGAATTGTTGCTTTATTGAACGATGGAGTATTAGGGCTAGGCAGGAGAGTTTTCTTTCTATTTCGAGATTAAAGTCGTAAATTACGAGAATAAAGTTGTATTTTATGACAACTCTTACAGGAAGCACTGTCTTCCCTAAAATGAATAATGTTGAGTAATAAAACGACTTTATTCTCGTCACAAATTTATGTTCAAATAAATTTAAAATTCTCTAGCCTGGCCCTAGTAGTCCTTCGTATTATTGGAATGACTGGAATTGGTTACAAATATTCATTAGGGGGAGCATTTGACCTGACCAATATGGCGACCGTAGCGGGAGCTTCCTTAGTACCCCTAGCGGTCAAACATCGGTACTGCTGTTGCCGGCTGTGTTGTAATTGACCTTTAAAATACTTTCAATCCAAAACCAGATTATTTTTCACTCAAATGATTCCAGCATTCATATAACCAGACACTCACCCGAGCTGACAGGAGACTAATAGTAAACATGGAGCAAAAATAACAGCTAACGGTTAGCATTGAGCTACTAAAGTCTTGTGGTTTACAGTTAGCCTCCTAAACTAACTACTTTTAAAAGGCTCTAATCACTGATGGTTCCGACCCGAACTCACCGGCCTGCAGCCCCTGGGCAATCCAGAACCACCAACCTTAGCTGTCACTCACACATCTAGCTGATACACACTACTGCGTGTTCCACCCGGACCAGAAACAGGGACGGACCGCCTGCTGCTGATTGGCCAGTTTAAAAGTGAAACACGCACCATAAAAGGTTCCGAATCGGGTGAAAATCTCAAAAAATCAGCCCTTTTAAAACTTTTTACATTAAAAAACAAAACAAAAATCAATTTCACGATAAGTCAATTCTGACGAAGTGATTAAAAAAAAAGAGATAAAGAAATTACAGTGGAAACGAAGTTGTGTTTTTCTTATGTTATTGGGGGTGCTGAAGCACCCTTAACTTGAATCAAAGCACCCCTAATATATGTTTTTTTTTTTGTTTTTTTGCGCTTTTTAAATATAAAAGGTAAAACAAAAACATACTTAATATAGTCTAAAAACTATACAGTAATTGCATATAAATATATATATAAATCTGTGTGTGTGTACACAAATATATGCCAGTGAAATAAGAAATCAATGAAAATCGTGCCATTAATTTTCAATTATGGTTTCACAGAAATATTAATAATAAACAAACAAAAAAGCAGGTAAACCAGCACGATGGAGCTCCTAAATTAAAATATTTAGCAACACTCTCAGGGAATCACTGCAATCAGGTTTGTTGGTGAAATGTTCAGGAGCAAGGGGCTCTGATGTGTCTGGGACCATTTTTAAATCCTTATTTTTAAAATCACATTTCAAAATCAATATTTCAATCTATCAAATCATAATTTTGCATGCTTTTATTTTTATATATTTTTTTCAGTTTCTTGTTATTAGAATTACTTTTGTGAATTTATCCTTTTCTCTTTGGCAGTGTGTCCAAATGTTCAAACACAACTGCATATATTTACCTTGTTAAATATAATCCATTATAGGATTGCCGGTCCAAAGAGGGAGAGGTTTACAAGGGGAAGGAGAGGAGCAAGATGTAAGGTGAGGAAAAGCCAGGTAAGTTTTGGTACAGCCCGTCCAAGAAGACAAAACACAAAAGTCTCAGATAGGAAATGGTGAATCCTACAATCGCTCCTGGAAAGGACAAACATTTCTATTTTCTTTTTAAAGAGTATAAAAAAACTGAATTCAATTGATGTCTTGTCTCCAGAACCACTGCAGCATCTAAATGGGTTTGGCAAAGTCAGTTATGGATCTTTGACGGAAACGGTTAAGAACCAAGATTCCAACTGTTGGCAATATTTGGTTCCCACCAGATGTTAGAAATCATTTCTGTCTGTTGCTGCTGGTTATGGACTAAACAGCTTAAGATCTTATTTGGTAAACAGGGATTACTTTGTATCATTTGGTTATAATTAGTATTGTTTTTGACAGCCATCAGGACGGAAACTATTATTAGTCTTAGTCACATTTTACTCATTACGATATGTGATAGTTTTAGTCAGTTTTAGTGGACTCAAAACTAAAAAGGTTTTAGACTAGTTTTAGTTCAGTTTATTTATAGCAACAATTCACAACACATGTCACCTCAAGGCACTTTACATTTCACCAGATCATTCAGTCAGATAGATTCAAAGTTTTCTATAAGGAAAACCAGCTGATTGCATCGACTCATTGACCCGAAGGCAATCTCTCACACTAAGCATGCTTGTAACGACAGTGGAGAGAAAAAACTCCCTTTTAACAGGAAGAAACCTCCAGCAGAACCAGGCTCTGTTTGAGTTGCCATCTGCTGAGGCCGACCACAGGCGACCCAGTTTATCGTTGCTGCTGGGCAGAAAACTTTGATCTATAGACTAATTTTTTTATGAATTAATGCCATACTTATACAAAAGTGTCTCATAAAAGCTGTGAAAATAGCAGATCTAGTTCAACACATCATATTGGTCAATATAGCAGACAGACAAGCTAACAAAATGTACAATAAAGGGATGGTTTAAGACATACAAGGTTTCCATCCCAAAGCAAAGACTTCCTGATCTACAATGAATTCTATGTGCATTATAGTTGAAGAACAAACAAGGAGCTGCTCTTGTGAAGCAATGAGATCCGCAACCACTAAGATCTCTACCAGAATTTAGCGGACTAGAAGCTACACCTTAATTTGACATGCCTAAGGATCGGTGAGGGTATGCCAGAAGACTGAGTCTGTTCCATAAACATTTTGATTAACCCAACTGGATCAGATTCAGAACATGATCACAGTATTATAACTAAGGACTGCTGTTTATAAGGAACTGGGTTTACATTTTAATCAGAGTTAAACAGTTTGGTTACAAGTGGCTGATCTGGTTCTGATTTAAAAGCATGGTGGACTCAGTGATCCGGACATGAGAACATCCAACATGTTCTCTGGGTTCTTATTGCAGAAGGAACTCTGTTCTTGCTGCAGAAGGTCGGCCATATTTGGACCTGCTGTGGATCTTCTCTCTCTAGCTAAAATAAACATTTCTGTTTCCTTCTGAGAATCCAGACTCCTGCAGCCAGACTGTTTCCTTCTCCTCTGAGGACGTGGCAGCTCCTCCCTCCCACCCTACTCCTCATCTTTCAAGCTTTGATGTGGGCCAATCGGATGAGAGGTGCAGCTGTGGGTGGGCTGTGATTGGCTGGGAGTCGGACAGATGTTTGAGATGTTTGGAGGATCAGAAGCAGAGGTGAGCCAGATAAGCAGAGGTGAGCCAGATAAGCAGAGGTGAGCCAGATGAGCAGGAGAAGCTGCACAGACAGGTGAGTCCCTCCTTCTGTGGAGGGAATCTTTAATCATTTTGATTTGGTTCTGAAGGAGCAGATTCTCTCCATGAAGCAGAGCTTAACTTCCAGAAACATGGAGTCAAGTTCAGATTTTATTGCAAGAAGAAGAAAAAGAGAAAGATTCACCCATCATACGGGTTCTAACATTTAGACATAAATCAGTCACATTAGAAAACTGATCCTGGATTCTGGAGGAAAGTGCCTCTGGAGAGAGTTTTTCTTTATGGGGTCAGAAGTAGGAGAGCCCCCACCGCCTTGGAGGAGAAGGAACCTGATCATATGGGTTGGATCAGGATGCTCCTCCAGATGTTTCAGTCAGTCATGACTCAGTGGCGCTCAGTGGAAATAATTTTCCTCCAACTTTAATTCCTTGTTCTTCCTAAAGAGTTCAGTCTGACCTTGATGGCTTCCTCTGAAAGAATAATCTGCTATGATTCCATTCTTTTCCTGAAGTCTTCCTCTGGACAATGTCAAAGTAAGTTTATTTCTATAGATCATTTCAGTGGAGAGACTATTTAAATTTCTGACACTTAGCATAACTTTATTTACACGATTCAAAACATATAAACAAGTGCAAAAACAAGTGTCAGCTAAATTTTATTAAATAAGGAGCTTGCTAATCTTTAGTTGTCCATCTGACACAGTACAAAGAATTTTGTTAAAAATCCCACAACTGAATAAAATGCTCAATAAACTGTGTGGCTCTGTGAAGTTTCACTTCCACGGAGCCGCGGCATCAAGTTAAGGTCCCTCCTGCAGTCTGTCTCTGCAGTACAAGTAAATAAACATCTTTGCTTCACTGATTAAAAAAATTTAAAAGTTGTGCATCTTGCCAATTTTTTTTCTTTTCTGGCAAACTCCTCCTTTAAAAAGATGTACACGAGGAAACAAGGGGAAATAAGAGTACAATGCAGAGGCATAGAGGGGAAAAAAAAACAAAGGGAATAAAATTAAAACATTAAAAATAAGAGGATTTATTCCAGATCATTGGAGAATGAGAACTAAATTCTGCTTGTCTGTGTTTAGTTCTGGTTCTGCAGAGTAGATCTGATCCAGTAGTAGAGAGGTCTGGCTGTCGATCCACTGCCAATCATTCTATAATGTACTTTGGAGCCATTCAGTGATTTCTAATCTAACGGAAGGATTTTAAATCCTGCTCTCTGAGACTCAGAAGGACTTCAGAACTGGGCTGATGTTCTCCACTTTCTTAGTTCTAGTGAGGATGCAGGCAGCAGCGTTCTGGAACTTCTGCAGCTGTCTGATCCACTTTTTAGGCAGACCTGTAAAGACACCGCTGCAGGGATCAATTCTACTAAAGAACGAAGCAGGAAGTAGTTTTCAACATCAGTCCTTTAATCCTAAAGACTTTCTTCAGGTGATGGAGCACCTACTTTGTTCCTGTCTCTGTTAGCCTCTGAAGGTTCAGGTCTGAGTCCATCACTGCACCCAGATTTAGAGCCTGATTGCTGCTGGATTAGCTGAAGCTGGATGCTCCCGTTTAAATGCTCCTCCTTTGCTCCAAAAACTATTACTTTAGTTTGATGTTGATTGCGTTGATTTCTTCTCTGCATTTATCCAGAACTGGAATGGGTCCAAAGTCACATTGTGACATGGTGCTGTGCAGCTGGATGTCATCTGCATCGCTATGGTAGCTGATGTTCATTGAGATCTTAGTTTGGGGAGCATAATACAGAGCTTAAGGTAATGCCACATGAGATCTTCTGGTCTCTGATGTAAAGTTATCTTCTGACACTAAACGGTCTTTGTGCTTGAGGAGGATGTTAACCAATCCAGAGGGAATGTAGAGTCCTAAACTCTTCTGCTGCTTCTTCCTGTCGGTTCCGGAGGCCTATTCTAGAAACTGAACCCATCTTTCACCCAAACTCCATTAAATATGACAGGACATTTAACTTCCCTTCACCCCTTAGGCTCAGATCTGTGATGATCTGATGATGAAACGCGGTCACCTTGAACCCCAGCCGGCCTCAGCAGATGGCCGCTCACACTGAGCCTGGTTCTGCTGGAGGTTTCTTCCTGTTTGAAGGGAGTTTTTCCTCTCCACTGTCGCTACAAGCATGCTTAGTGTGAGGGAGTCAATGAGCCGATGCAATCAACTGGTTTTCCTTAGATAGAAAACTTTGAACCATTTTCACTGTATGATCTGGTGAACTGTAAAGTGCCTTGAGACAACGTTTGTGTAATTCTCTGTTTGATTACGTCTGTGTCATTTTAACAGGATGATCCGTTCGGTGGTGATCTGCTGGCTCCTCTTCATTGTGATCAGCAGAGGAAAGCCCACTGAGAAGAAGAGCCGGGTCCTTCAGGAAGAACCTCTCAGTCAGCTCCAACATGACGACAACAAGAACTTTGACTACGATCACGAGGCTTTCCTCGGACAAGATGAGGCCAAAGCCTTTGAACATCTTTCACCAGATGAGAGCAAACGTAGACTGAGGTCAGTTAGAAGTTCTACTTCTATATCCTTGCATCTCCAGTTCTCTGTTACCCAAGCTTCTTCTGATGCACCTTGAGGTTTTCTGTCAGAAACGGGTCAGAGCAACAGTCTTGAAACTCCTTTTCTAACAAACATCTAGAGGGCGGTTCCTGATGCCCCCTGATCGATCAGAGGTCACAGCTTTGCTGCTTCACATTAATCCAGATTGTTTCCTGATATTCTGCTTCACAAAAGGATAAACATGAAGATCTCTGGTTTATTACAATGATTAACATGAATAAGATGGACCCTGATCTGTTTGTATCGACCCGAGACTGAAGATCACCACTACAGTTGTTTCTTCCTTTAATGTTTTTCTTCTAAGATCGTCCAACACACAAACTGAAACCCTGCAGTTTTATATTTCCTGCTCCACAATCAGGGATGGATTTAGGAAATTTGGGGCTCTAGGCAAAGATGGGCAGGGGGCCCTATGAATTGAGAAGACAACATAGAATAGACCAATTATACACATAGAGAAATTTAATAGAATAGACATCCATTATTCGTTCTACATTTTATCCCTTTATTCCATTTTCTTGTTGTTTTTCTCTCTATGTTCTTAGGGTTAGGGTTTCATGCTGTCCCAAAAGGAATGAAAGATTTTCTACAAGCGCTAAGCTCGCTTAGCTGATTGCTTCTTCCTGTGTTTCCAAAAAGGCCAAAGTAAATAACCCAGTCCTTCTTTTCACTGTAGACAAGCCATGATCTGCTTCTCTGTTCTCCATTTTTCATTTGGATGAAATAATAGCTGCATGAATCATGACAGCAGACAAGATAGAGGAGAGCAGGAGGCGGGGTTACCAATCTACTGGCTCTGGAGAGCAGAGTTCGCTGCTTTTAGATGTTGTCGCCAAAGTCCGCAGTAGCAGAAAAAGTCTAGATTAGGCGCTAGGCGTTTTATTGTAATCAAAGTGCTAGAGGGGTCTGAAAAGTCGTTGAATATAGCAACAAAAGCGCTAAGATGGCAACACTGTTCTTTGCATTGTTTGTTTGGTTTGCTGTTGTCTGTTTGGACCTTTCTAAATAGCTGCAGCAAATGGACTGATCCAATATGGTGAACACATGAAGGGGGGGGGGGGGGGGGGGGCTGAGACACACCTAATATTAGAAGCGTTCTGATGGCATTTCAGCAAAAGGATTTTTATCAAAAACAGAACTAATGTGCACAAATAAGGAATAGTTGTATTAACCATACATCTAAACAGAGTTTAATGTGGGCCCCTGGAAACTGGGGCCATAGGCAGCTGCCTAGTATTGCCTAATGGTAAATCCCCCCCCCCCCCCCCCCCGTCCAAAACAAGTGAGAATGTCCGCCTGTCCTGAAGGTCTTGTGGACAGATGATGATGGACATTTATTAGATGAACCTTTCATTGGAAGCGTTGGAAAACAATGGAGCCAACTCTCTCATTCAGCCAGTAGATGGCGGTGTATCCGGTCTGTATCTTTGGTTGATCAGTTCCACTGCCTAAGATCTGCTCTGTGCTTTAATCTGCAGAATCATCGTGGATAGAATCGACGACAACAAAGATGGTTTTGTCTCAGAGGAGGAGCTGGAGCTGTGGATCAGGAATGTGCAGAACCGACACATGTATGAGAATGTGGAGCATCAGTGGCACGAGTTTGACCTGAATAATGATGGCCTGATCAGCTGGGAGGAGTACAGGAACGTCACCTATGGCAGCTATCTGGGTGAGGATCCAAACAGGAACACGTGTGAACCTGACCCTTATGTTTTCTGCTGAGATCTGATCTTTTCCCCAAATCAAAGCTTTTTAAAATCGGAGTCCAACCACAGTAAAATGCCGACAGGTGGGTCCACACTGATAAGGTCCTAACAGTCTGATAAAGTGGGGCCATCATTTATCTAAGTTACATCATGAGACCCAACTTGATGAAGATGGTACCATGGCAGAGGAGGAAGATGTGATGCAGATGCTAAAAGTAAAGTGAAATAAGGTGGTAACTCAATAGAAATAGGCGGATTTATCAGAAGGTTAAAGGTTTGGCTCAGGAAGAATTATGGCTGCATTTAAAACACACAAAAAACGGCTAAGTAGTGCAAAATGTGATTAATATCAAAATTGAGGAGAAATTCAAAGTAAATTCAAAGTAAGTTCAAAGTTGGCTGTCAGTATTGTATGAACTGCTTCAGTTTTATAATAAAAACACAATCTTATACTCAATAAATTAGCATTGTCAGGAATTATCCAGACTAAATCCAAATTCTGCTTTTATTCCTACAGTTTATGAGATTCTCAAAAGGGGCAGAGGTTGGTTTTAAGGGGTTATGCTATAACGCACGGGGGGGGGGGATGTTTACCCTCAGGCAATACTAGGCAGCTGCCTGAAAACAAAGAGTAGTGTTGCCAACTTAAAATGGTGGTATCAACCGAAGGAAATAACGCATTTTTGCACAAATGCCTATCTGCACTGAACCATTGCAATTTGCACACTGTTTTTATCCACTGCACTGTTTACACTTTGACCACTGCTGCACTTTTTGTATAACTCGTGTGTAACGATCCGGAAAGGTATTCCATCTCATTTGAAATATCAATGCAATGTTCATAAGCTGTATGCAACGCAATTTTGTTCTGTATGCACTCTGTGCATACAGAATGACAAATAAAGAAGTCTAAGTCTAAGGTATCGTCGTGTAGGGCACTGATATCATTTTGAGAGCCAAAAGTTTATTCAACTATTTTCACCCACTCCAGGTAGGCAATAAAAAGTTCTACTGGATTCACTGTGTATTAGTCTATTTCCTGCTTCATAAAGGTAGGCAGCAGCTTAACAAAGACATGATGGCAATTATTTTACATCCAAGTGGGATGCAGTTCTTCATATATACACATACATCAATTTCAAACAGATGGTATCAGTATTACTGCACAGCCAGGTATCGTATATATCGGCGCATAACGACTAACCATCGAACCTTTGTGGGAGACATTTAGCTTGTCTGTGAGGACAGTTGCAGGTCTAAGTCCATCTCAAAGGTTATTGAAGCAGGAGCTTTTCTTGGGTGTTAGCACTGTCTCGTTACTGGTGATTAAAATGGTTTCACTGAGACATGGTTACCAGACAGTTGAAAGATCTTTAACCATTCAATCCTGATAAAGTGTGGTCTATATAATTTCTAACCCCAAAGCAATGCCATACATGTCCGAGATGGAAACCTTTAACTCTTGATCTTGACTCATCTTCTTTCAGAGGGTCCTCTGACTGAGAGGGAGTATAACTACACCAACATGATGTCGAGGGACGAGAGACGCTTCAAAGTGGCAGACAGTAATGGAGACATGAATGCAGACAAGCCAGAGTTTATGGCTTTTCTTCATCCAGAAAACCATGAACACATGAAGGAAGTGGTGGTGCAGGTAAGAGGGGCCACGGCTTGTGTTAGACTTAGACAGCATTTATTGTCATTTTGAATACACAGAGTATACAAAACGAAAATTCGTTTCGTACAGCTTTCATGAAATTTCCATTTTGTTTAAAGTGCAGCAGTGATCAAATGTAAACGTTGTTGGTTTGAGGTTTTTGTTCCCAAGTTAAACTCATCTCTCCTCTATCATAGGAAACGATGGAAGACATAGACAAGAACGGCGATGGATTCATTGACCTGAAAGAATACATCGGTAAGGACACAGCTGTCCATCACTCCTTGAAAGCAGGTTAAGAACAAGTCGGACCTTCATACTGATCTCTCCAAGCTGCAGTCATGCGGTCATGAATTGTTTTAATCACTCTAAAGAAGTAGTCCATCCTGTTCCAATGTTCTGGGGAGAACCCTTGGTAGTAATATTTTTGCTGGGACACAATATCACATTACATATTGACCTTCAATCCACCCTTTGAACTCCCACCAGAGAGTGGAATATGTCCAGAACCTCCGAATGTGGGGGAGGATACCTTTGTGACCAGTAACTTCGACTGGATAAGTATAATCAAAGTTACTGGTCACATTAGAATGAATAATGGCCGCTGCATTTATCCCATTCCTTAAGGAATAGTGGGCAGCTTGGAGCAATCATGGGTTAAGGTTCTGCCTCAGAGACACAGAGAGGCACTGGCAGTCCTCTTCTGTAGAGTTGCTGGCCTCTAATACAATAGAAAGATGATTAAAGACTCAGACCCTTAATAAAGGCATATATGAGATGCTAAGAGAGGTTCATGTTTTTTAAAGGAAAAGTCCGGTCAGCAAGGAATAATCAATGGATCAGTATTTATACCTAAAACGAATACCTTTGTGGTGATTTAATGAATTTAGCGTTAATCAGTAAAAACATAAAGATAAAAATGTTCGTTGCGATCGCCCATCTTTGCCCAAATATAGTAACCCCTCCCTCCTGCCATCTTCCGGCAGTGACGTCACGGTGCGGTAAGCCTAGCGCCATTCTCCCCGCTTTACAAGCAAAATCAATGGGAACTACTAGACACATCTGCAATCAACAACAATTATTGAAGATTTCCAGAGGACTTCAGCATTGAAATTCACCAGAGCTATAGTGAAACTGACAATGCCCACATGCATGGCAGCTGGATGTTGTGATACATTGGGAAAAGTGAAATAATTTCACCTTTCTGATTCCTGATCCTCCACTGACGGGTTCGTCGTTGGATTGCCAACTTGAAGAGGAAGAATTTGACACCAGCCTCTGCTGCTTGTGGTCTGAACGTTGCATAAGCGTCCAGTGAACTAAATTGTGCAGACTGGTTCTGTGGCTTGGCAGAGCACACACATGGCATGGAGATGACTTATTGACACCACATCTCCCGCCTCTGCTTGATAGATTTATGCATTTGAAATAAGACCTGAAAGAAAAAGGGGAATATCATCTGTCCTTTTCCTTTTTTATGCCCTGATATCCTGACCAATGACACAGCTATTCTTATATTCACTGCAAGAATGATTTCTGCCCTGAAGAAAAACAGCGAGAACCTCCAAGACACGACTTCTAGAACAAAATGACATAACTTTATTCTTTTGGCTGTGAGATCAAGAAAAAAACTTCTTGCTTCTCTCGAAATTTTGTGGAATTTTAAAATGAAACCATAACTTGCTGAATCAGTGTTTGACCTTTGAACTTTCTTCCTCATATCTCATTTGCAGGTGACATGTTCACTGCAGAAAATGGAGTAGAGGAACCGGAGTGGGTGGCCACAGAACGGCAGCAGTTTTATGAGTTCAGGGACAAAAACAAGGACGGCAAGATGGACAGGGAGGAAACTTTGGACTGGATCCTCCCTGCAGATTATGACCATGCAGTCGCAGAGGCCAAACACCTGTTGTACGAGTCTGACACCAACAAGGTCAGTCCACTTTCCAATAGCTCCATTACTCAATCTAGTCAAACAATCAGTCCCTATTAAATGCTTTATTTCCTTGTCCAGGACGGCAAGCTGACCAAGGAGGAAATTCTGGACAAGTTCGACCTGTTTGTGGGAAGTCAGGTGACGAATTATGGCGAGGTCTTGATGCGGCACGACGAGTTCTAGGAACAGTTCATTGCAGCAAGTTCTTTTTTTATTTTTTTTATTTTGCTTTTTCACATGCCCTGCCTACATGCACCAGGGATGTATCCAGTTGGTATCCGATAAAGACTGTTTGTAGATGGGCCACGTCGCAGAATCTTTGTATGACCTTGAAATATTTGGGTTTGTCGTGTGTCGATGTGTTTGTTGAGTACGTGTATGTGGAGGGGCTAATCACGTTGAGGTGCACATCTAATAGCGTAGCAAGAACAGGTTGAGGTCTGCACGCAGGATCCAAAAGCAACAAAGGACGGGTGGACATGGTTTCAAAAGGCCAAAACAGTCCCGACACAGCCTTACTTTACCTCACCGGAGCAGCAGTCCTTGCCCCAAAGAGACACAAAAGGAGTCACAGAGAACCGAGTCCTTAAAACCCAGCTACACGGCCATCTTTGGTGCAAGCCAGAGACCAGGTTGCACCGGCAGTCCAAGGTACACACTAGTTCCAGCAATAAAACCACAAAACAGGGGAGATTCCACCAGAGAGGCAACACATATCTGATCCTCAGGGAGGGATTTTAATATTAGGCAGTACTAGGCAGTTGCCTGGTACATGCACATAAACTCTGTTTACATGTATAGCTAATACAGCTATTTCTTATTTGTGCACATTAATTATGTTTTTCATAAAAATCCTTTCATTAAAACGCATTCAGAACGCTTATGATTTTAAGTGTCTAATTTCCTAAATCCGCCTAAGTTGAACTAAGTTGTTCCCTTTCTAGATCGGTATTCTTTTGATGACCTTGTTTTGATTCAGTAACTGTAAGGCAGTGGTTCCCAAACTTTGGGCATGCACCCCTTAGAGGGGCTAAGTGTAATTGCAGGTGGATATTTTATTAGTGAATACGTTTCAATTTTTGATTGGTAGTAAATTGTTTTGTAATTTACAGGGAATTGCAGTACATTTTATTGCAGGGGTCTTTAAAATTTTCCAGGCAAAGGACCCCAAAGCTGATGGCCAGATGGAGCGGGACCCCCTGATTATATATATTGTATGACATAGTGTTCTATCAAACTGGTCCTATAGTCACTCTATTACAGATGGAGGAATGTAATGAAAGTAATCCCTCCCTGGGATTATTAAAGTATTTCTGATCCTGATTCCTGGTTGATGGGACAGGTGTTGTGAATGAAATGGTGCCCAGCTTGAAAGAGCTCCTGTGTGTCTCTGAATGTGAGCATTGATGACTGAAAGACATCTTCTGCCTCCATTTATCTGTTTACTACAGTGTGTTGAATTCATGTTAATGTGGATTTAAAGACGTTTCAGTTAGTGGAAAGAATTGCAGGGAGGAATATAAAAAAAAAAAACTCTAATCAACCAACTGTTGGTGGGTGAGGGTGCAAAAAAACGCCTTCCCAGGTTTGTCAATGGGGGGCTCACCAAGAAAAGTTTGGGTACCAGTGATGTAAGGTATCCTGAAACGGAGGCTGCACAAGAAGTTCACCTCATCAGCCCTCACCTCCAGGCTTTAGGTTTAGTCTGAGGTCTGTGTGCCACAATGCGTGGATTCAACATGTCAAAAGGATCTCTGGTTAGAATCTGACCTCTGATCCCATTAATGGATTATCACCAATCAGCTGCTACCCCTCGCCTCCCAAACGCCCCGTCCTGTAGCTTTAGATGTGTCCCTGCTTTCAGGGCAGGAGGGGGCCGACAGTCAAAAGAGCGAGAGAAGCTCAGACAGTTTGATAGAAATCTTTATTGACTGACAAATTGTTGGGTTTGGGTGTCTGACACTCTGACTGCTGCCCTCTGGTGGTCTTTAAAGATATGCCACCTACCTCTAGATCAGCCCAGATCTTCAGGATGGAGAGCTTGTTCTATCGGCATGTATTTAAATTGAATATGTTGTAACAATGAGAGCTTTAATAAAAAACAAAAAGTTAATATTGGAATATCCAGTCTCTGGTTTTAATCTGTATCCCTGCAAATGTGGCAAACAACGGTGTCCTGTTGTGCACAGTTTTTTAAGTCGCAGTTTGTTTTTTCAGAAAAGAGCACAAACAGACAATTTAATACATTTTTATTCCATTTTTCTTGCTTTATCTAAACAAATGCCTTCTACAATAAAATTTGATATGGGGTTTTACGTATAAACTGTTTACATGGTTTTGTTTTTTGTTTGTTTTTTTCCTATGGGTTCTCTGAACGCAGATGTTTAAAAGTCCTTTAGGGAAGTCAAATGTCCTTCTGAGTTTTGCTCCAAACATTACGATGCTGTGGACACCTCAGTCTTTGAAGACACTTCAGATGCTTCTTCCATTTTCTTTCCAAACACCATTTCCATGATGCAGGCGTTAAACTGGAGACAGAGAAGCAAAAGTCAGGATCTTTATATCTTGTTTGCATATTCAGATTCAGGTGATACAGGCTGTCTTTCTGGCTTTGGGAGGAGCAGAGGGAGATATCTACAAAAAGGTGATACTGAGCTGCTTCAGGGATCAGAACCAGGTGGGTCCTCCTCACCTGCTTGTTCATGAAGGCGTAGATTAGTGGGTTGTAGACACAGGAGCTCTTGGAGAAGAATGCCGGGATGGTCACGAGCCGGTAGTCTTTATTTACCTCTTCAGAGTGGGCAAACCAAAGAGCCGTCAAAGCATATGGGCCATAGCAGGTGACGAAGGAGCCGACCATGACGATGATCATCCTGGACACCTCCTTCTCAGCCTTCTGAGTGGACGCCGACTCTGCCTGCTGGGCGGCAACCTGCAGAAGAACACATTAGAAAGGCTTGAGGCAACTCTTTCATGAGTGTTTAGTGGCAGTTTCCATGCATAAGCTTGTATGCAGGGGTGGGTAATTTCCGTTCCTGAGGGCCGGTATCCTGCAACTTTTAGATGTGCCTCTGATTCGGCAATATTGAATCAAGTAATTAGATGATTGAGAGGACTCTGGAGGAACTGACTGCATGCTGAGGAGGTAACGCAGGCATTTGATTCAAGTGTGTTGGATGGATCTAAAAGTTGCAGGATACCGGCCCTCAGGATGTGGAATTGCCCAGCCCTGTTGTAATGTGTCGCCGTGGATGGGTGGACTCACAGCTCTCAGAGCTCCCAGTAACTGAGAGTAGGAGAAGATGATTATGGACAGAGGGATGCAGAAGCAGGTGACCATCAGGAAGTACATGTAGCTGGTGCAGTTAAACTCCTCGTTATTGGTGTACCAGTCGGGTCCGCAGGAGCAACCCAGTCCTTCCGGGATGTACCTGCACAAAAACATCAATTCAGCCGGAGAACGTCGGGACTGATCTGTACACGGCTGCTCCTCCAGCGGCGGGAGATCTACCTGCTCCAACCAAAGAAAGGTGGGCAGGAACAGCCCACCCCCATGAACCAGGTGAAGAGCACAGCGCCGGCGGCGTGACTGCTGCCAAACTTAAACGCTCCGAACGGTTTACAGATCACCAGGTACCGCTCGAAGGAAAGCACAGCCAGCGACCAGGACGTCACCAGACCTGCAGAGAAAACATCTGCATTCGTCACCTGCCTTCATCGCACCAACCCACCACCTCTCAGCCTCCCAGCCTCACCTGCTACGGCACCCATGGCTGCTTCCAAGGCACACAGGGTGTGACCCAGGAAGTAGTAGCCCCTCACGGTGGAGACGAACACCTGGCTGACGGAGAAGGTGACGAAGATGAAGCCAGCAAGGGAGATGTTGACCAGGATATAGTTGAGAGGAGCTCTGAGCTTCTTGTATTTAGCTGTGGCCAGCAGAACCAGGAAGTTTAACGGCGTCCCGACGAAGAAGACGAAGCCCATGAACAGGGCCTGGAGGTGGAACGCCCACGACGGGGCGAGATAATACTGGGGCCCCTCGAAGGGGTCCACTTTGGAGATGTTCTCATACAGGTGGAAATGTTTCCCCATCTTTAACCTGAGCTTCTACTACCTCAGCCAGAACCTTCAGCCTCTTTTTATACACCTATTAAACCACTTAAAGGAAAGATAATCTGCGCGGATTTTCCCGAACTTATGGATTTAATCCTTCTGACACTTTAATCTTCTTATTGACAAGAAACAATAAAAAACAGACTCATATCACGAAGTTCATCGTGTTTAAACAAAAAAAATGAATTTCATGACAGCTTATTTTCTGTTGGTTGAATCTGGGAGGTTCTTGCTGCGAATCTGTTTTCTTTTTTTCTAGGAAAGAAGCTTTATATGAAATGACTTTTGAAGTGCATAGATTTCTGCATCCTGTGATCATTGATGTGCAGCTATTGGCCAAACAGACCTGTGTCTGTTTTTCTTATTCCTGGACAACCTTTTAAAATGAAGATAACAGGTTGTTTTTTCAGAGATCAGTGACTCTTCCAGACTAATAATCTGTTCGACAAGCACACTAACCCCAGATTACCACAAAGTAAAATCACTTTACCTTTTCACCACAAACCATCAGGCAGTAGATGCAGTCAAATTTGCTTATCACAGAACTGTATGTTTAATAATTCAACAAGGATAGCTTTTTAAAAATTGTTGTTTCTCTGATTTAAAGAAATTTAAAAACGAAAAGTTAATCTTTTTTACCTAAATTCAGGTTTTATTTAGGAAAAATAACCAGCTATCATATTGTCAGCCAGAGCTGCTTTTATATCTTAAATACTTTGCTCTTCCAGATATGAAATGAAGGGAAAATATTGCCAGATCTGTGTTCCGTGGGTTTGTTTCCAGCTATTTTGGTTTTTTTAAGTTTTAAATATGGCATTTTTATTTGTTGTCTGATGTAAATCTGATGTAAATCTGCAGGACATTTAGTTTTAAGGTAGCTGATTAAGGAGCTCAGTGATGGAGATGGTTGACCGATAAAAACCCAATAAGAACCTTTATTTTTTCCGTGACTTAAGATCTAATCCGGATGTCTAAGACTTACCTGAGCGGGTCATCCACCTTAATCCGCCTCAATCCTGCAAACAAAGAGCTTAGATTTATAATGACTCTACAGCTCGCACTCCCTCCTGCTGCTGCTGCTGGTCGTCCACACGGACGCCTGAAGACGCGGATAAAGACGGAAATCTCTGCAGCTCAGGTACTTGTGGCCATCACTTCATCCTGCCCGCCTCATGAAGGGAAAGCGTTTCGGCTGCTGCAGAGCTTCAGTTTTAGAAAGCCACTGGACCTCCGCCTTTATTTTCTGGTTCTTCGTCTTCTGTCCGTGGAACTGTGATTGCTTAAGACCGGCTGCCCCGCAGGAACATCAGCCACAGCACACAGATTATCGACCGATCAGTTGATCGATCTGCTTCAGAACTAGGGCTGTACCGTAACCAGGCTGTGAACAGCTCAAGCACGGGTATGATCTGACTTTATTAAATAAAGGCTGCATCAAAGCAGCACGACACATCAGTTCAATAGCAACCTGTGTTTGTGTGACCTTTAACTATTAGGGTTGTCAGTTGGTAGGTGGGGATGTTGGTGTGTTTAGGTTGAGTGGGTGGATGCGAGTGGGGTTATCACCTGGAGGTGCAGCGTTGTTGAACGGTAGAGAGTCGCAGGACTCAGACAGCTGTACTGCCTCCCCCCACCCACCCAAAGTTTAGGATCCAGTCCCCCACCAAGCATCGGAGACCCCACTGAGCCCCCGCCGGGCAGGCATCTGTCCGCTCCAGCAGCCAGAACTCTGAAGGAGCAAGGTAAGGTGAGAACATTACTATCCTACCTGCTGAGCTAGCTCCTGTCAAAGCCCTGCGACGGCGGGCCTGACGCATCCCTGGGGTCCAAAGAAGATATAACGGCGCCGTGAGAGATGGCTGGGCCTTACCCGTACCTCCACTCATGGGCAAAAGAAAAGCAAAGCGTTCCCATCAAGCCAAGAGGGAACTTTACTGTATACGAGAGTTCATGGTCTTCTCAGTTACCGTATGTATCTAAGGCCAGCGGCTGCACAACACTGCAAAAAAATGCAATCTAAATAAGTCTTGTTTTTTCTTAAAATATGTGCATTTGTTCTTGAATTTAGGTGGTAAGTGGGACACTTAACCAATGGAACAAGACAATTTACTTTAAAAAAAAAATTCAAGTGCATATTATCTAATTAACTACTAATTCTATGGGAAAATCATCTTATTTACCTGCTCAAATTAAGGGGAAATGCACCTAATTTAAGAAATTTTGACCTTATTTCTGCATCGTTTTGGCAGTGAGGATTCTCCCCTCCTCAAGCTGCGGGGTTAGTTTGAGATTTATTTTGCCAAATGCTACTTGTTTTTTTTCCAAACTTGCAGCCGTACATTTTGGATCTCTGATCCGATTAATTAATTAGCTCCTGATTACAGCAGCAGGCACCTTCTTATTTCCTTCAGCTTTTAAGATGTGTTTCTGCTTCATCTCATTACCTGGTTGGGAGGTAAATAATCCACTCATTCAGGTATTACATCTAGAATTGCAAGACTTGAGAGGAAATATTTTTTAAGACAGATAAGTGAAGAAAAGTTGTTTGATTTAGTTTTTTCTAAACAAGGTAGCCTCACCTATGTTTATGTTTGATCTGGATAGAACTAGTCAGCTTAAAGAACATTAGATGTTTTTCTTTCTGTAAACAAATCTTTTATATTTTGACATCCATGCAGCAGACGCATAGAGTGATATTAAAATCAGAGTTATTTCCAGCGCCACTTGTCGGTGTTACGTTCTTTGAAACATTCCCTGCTGAGATAGATGCCACCACAACACCAGCTGGTGCTGGATAGTTAACGTGGTTGCTGTGCATCCATTAAGCCCTGCAGGTGCATAATTGCTACTAACGGTAGCCAAATTGCACATGTACCAGAACCTCCCCATGCAGGCGGATTCACTTTCTTTCTTTGAGCACAACATCAGAGACCAGGATGTGGTTAGCTTCTTCCTCAATGGAACCTGATTTTAAAGTGACATAAATTTTATAACGACAATAGAAACACAATAAAACTTTTCTATTTAAGTAAAAAGAATCGCTGCAGCAGTTAACCTGTGATAAAAAATATTAGCTGATTATAAATTCATCAACTTAATCCCCCTAGTTTTGTCCCTAGCTCCTGTTGCTAGGCCCTAGCCTCTGCTTCTATTGCTAGCGCCAACTTCTGTTGCTAGCACCTAGCCTCTGCTTCTATTGCTAGCTTCTACTTCTGTTGCTAGCTCTTGTTGCTAGCACCTAGCCTCTGCTTCTATTGCTAGCTTCTACTTCTGTTGCTAGCTCTTGTTGCTAGCACCTAGCCTCTGCTTCTATTGCTAGCTTCTACTTCTGTTGCTAGCTCTTGTTGCTAGCACCTAGCTTCTGCTTCTATTGCTAGCTCCTACTTCTGTTGCTAGCTCTTGTTGCTATCCCATAGCCCCTGCTTCTATTGCTAGCTCTTGTTGCTAGCCCATAGCCTCTGCTTCTATTGCTAGCGCTTGTTGCTAGCCCATAGCCTCTGCTTCTCTTGCTAGCTCTTACTTTTGTTGCTAGCTCTTGTTGCTAACCCCTAGCCTCTGCTTCTATTGCTAGCTCATTTTGCTAGCCCATAGCATCTGCTTCTCTTGCTAGCTCTTGTTGCTAGCCCCTATCCTCTGCTTCTCTTGCTAGCTCCTAGCTCCCGCTTCCATTGCTAGCTATTGTTGCTAGCCCCTAGCATCTGCTTTTCTTGCTAGCTCCTACTTCTGTTGCTAGCTCTTATTGCTAGCCCCTAGCCTCTGCTTCTATTGCTAGCTCTTGTTGCTAGCCCTTATCCTCTGCTTCTCTTGCTAGCTCCTAGCTCCTGTCCCTGCCACCTTAGATGGGGTCAACTGTAGAGCGCTACCTAGGTTAGGAATCCAGCCTTCAGCCCAAACATATATATGAATAATGTTAGTCTAATTTGGACTACAGCCTTCAGAAAAGTAATAGCAATATACTAACTGGCTAATTATATATTATAAAGGTGAACATTAGCATGTGTAGGCTATGCATGAAGAAACAGGAGTGTTGGGAGGACTCTATGCTAAAGGAGCTATGACAGGAAGCGTCCTGCTACATCTTCCTACCTCCGTCATTACTGCCAGCTCTATCTGGACAGCACTGGTCATGGCGACTGCTGACGCACTTCCGCTTTGGCTTGAGAATCCTCACCGACATTTGGATGGAGCCGTTGATTACATAGGGCTGCCACCTCTAGAACGGCCACCAGGCCGCAGGAGTGAGCAGACCGACAGGATTCAGACAGGTTTGTCTGTGCTGGACACAGCTCGATAGGAGTCATTATCGTTTATCCTCATGCTGGGCGGTTCTGTCGTTCCTTCTGACGGCTGCCTGATGTCTCCACGTCTGGTGGATGTTGTAGATGTTCTTCAGGATGCAGAGCTGGTTCTAGCTCTCAGTCTGTCGTTCTCTTCCATTCGTTCTTGTGCTGGATATGAACAGGGATTAGTTTGTTAGTAGAAACGTTAGTTTACTGCTGTGCAAATAGTTTTTAAATAACTACCGTACTGTGAGTTCCCTGAGTCTGTTTACCTCTGTTTCCAGTGAGAGTTTCGGAGCGGTGGGTGGGCCTGAAGTAGGTGGTTTATCTTATGGCAGAGAGTGTCTCCTCATCTCTTGCCTGTTTCACAATGGCTCTGCAACTGATAGTTAACCTGCACAGGTAGAAACAAGCCAGACCTTCAGTGTCCAGATTGATCTCATGTGTTTCTGTCCTCTGTGTGTCCTCAGATCCAGAGAACAGCTTACCGGCTCCGTGTCCTGAACCCTTGGATTCCAAAGGTCATTTCTGGGTGCACCACCCCCACTTCACCACCTGCAGCTCCTTTAAACTTAGAGTACTACTCCGCCCTCCAGCATACCACCTGTGAACAGGTGGTATGCTGGAGGGCGGAGTTTTACATGGCACTTTCCAAAGGATGTAAAACCACACTTACCTCCAAACCAACGGGGTGGCCTCCTCCTTCGCTGCCAGCTCTCTCCCCATCAGTGAACAAGCTACACTCACATTCTCAGAATATTTTCTCTGTTATTCTTGCCGCCTCGCTAACATCGCTACCTCTCCTTTCCTCAGGTGAACTGACCTTGGTGACGACAGATCTTCAACACCTATTTAATAAAAGTCCAAACTTTCTTACGGTCTCTGAGTGGTTAATGACGCAATTTGTCATTTTGCAAAAGTGAGGAAAATCCAACAATAAATTGAACATATTTTTATTTAGTTTTTTTTGTTGCTTTTATCTATACAAATGCATACTACAGTAAATTTCATCTGGTCTTTTTATATGTAAACTGTATTTACATGGTGCTTTTTCCTGTGGATCCTCTGAACCAAAAAGTTTAAAAGTCCTTTAGGGAAGTCAAATGTCCTTATGAGTTTTGCTCCAAACATTACGATGCTGTGGACACCTCAGTCTTTGAAGACACTTCAGATGCATCTTCCATTTTCTTTCCAAACACCATCTCCATGATGCAGGCATTAAACTGGAGACAGAGAAGCAAAAGTCAGGATCTTTATATCTTCATCGACTTTCTGGTTTAGGAGGAGCATTGCAGGAAGATCTCTACAAAATGTAATACTTAGCTACTTCAGGGATCAGAATCAAGTGGGTCCTCCTCACCTGCTTGTTCATGTAGATGTAGATGAGGGGGTTGTAGACGCAGGAGCTCTTGGTTAAGAAAGCTGGGATGGTAACGAGTCTGTAATCCCTGTTTGCGTCTGAAGAGTTGGCGTACACAAGACCAGTTATGGCGTAGGGGCAGTAGCAGGCGCAGAAGGAGAGCACCATGACGATGATCATCCTGGACACCTCCTTCTCAGCCTTCTGGGTGGACGCCGACTCTGCCTGCTGGGCGGCAACCTGCAGAAAACCATTGGAGAAGCTTCATCAGTACAAGAAATGCCCGATCCAACCTCCAAAGCTGGTGTTTTTTTTATTTGTAGATTATTACGCATCTACAGCTTCACGCTGTTTTGTAAAATGTCTCAGTGGATAGATGGACTCACAGCTCTTAGAGCTCCCAGTAACTGGGAGTAGGAGAAGATGATGACAGACAGAGGGATGCAGAAGCAGGTAGTAAGCAGGAAGTACATGTAGCTGGTGGTGCCTAACTCCTCGTTTCTGGTGTACCAGTCGGGTCCGCAGGCACAGTTCAGCCCCTCGGGGATAAACCTGCACATAAAGATCACATCAGCTGGAGAACATCAGCACCCACATAGACAACAGCGACAGACGCAGGAGACCCACCTGCTCCACCCAAAAAGAGGTGGCGAGGCAGCGCCAAACCCCATGATCCAACAGAAGGCGACGGCGGCACCGGCATGAGCGTTCCCAAACTTAAACGCTCCAAACGGTTTACAGATCACAATGTACCGCTCAAAGGAGAGCACAGCAAGAGACCAGGACGTCACCAGACCTGTGGAGACAGAGTTGTTTATAACCCGCTGTCACCACATCAGCCGCTCACCTTCCCAGCCTTACCTGTTCCCGCGGCGACCGCAGCTTCTGAGGCACACAAGGTGTAACCGAGGAAGTAGTAGCCCTTCACGGCCGCGGCCCACACCTGAGTGTTTGAGTAGGTAAGGAAGACGAAGGCAGCGAAGGAGATGTTGACCAGCATGTAGTTGAGAGGAGCTCTAAGCTTCTTGTACTTAATAGTAGCCAGCAGAACCAGAGTGTTTAACGGCCAGCCACAGAAGAGAACGAAGCTCATGAAGGCGGTCTGTACGTGAAATGCCCACATCGGGGCGATATAATACTGAGGACCCTCGAAGGGGTCCATGTTGGTCATATTCTCATACAGGTTAAAATGTTTCTTCATCTTTACGCTGAGCTTTTCCGACCTCAGCGAGCTCCTTCAGTCTCTTTATATACATCGAACGCCTTCAGCCTCTTTTTATACATCCATAAACCACTTAAAGCAAAGATAATCTGCGCGGATTTTCTCAAACGTATGGATTTAATCCTTCTGACACTTTAATCTCCTTATGGACAAGAAACACAAATAAATAACTGACAGCTGACCCTGTTTAAACAGAAAATGAATTTTCCTGACAAGTTGTTTCCTGTTGGTTGAATAAGGGAGAAAATTCGTCTTTTTTTGTTCTGCAGGGAAGCAGTTTTATACAAAAGAATTTATGTGAAATAGGTAGATTTCTGCATAATAATGCAGCGATTGGCTGATCTCACCGATGTCTTTTGTTTTTTTGTTGACTGTCCCTATTGTTGGACAACCTTTGCAAAAGAAGATAAATGTTTGTTCTTCTCATAGATCAGTAATTAACGGCTCCTTAAGACCATTAACCTGTCCGACAAACACACTAACCTCCAGATAAACAAAAAGTAAAATCAGTTTTTATCATCTTTTCACCATAAATGTTTTTTCCCCCCCTGAAATTTCCCATTTTGGGATAAAAAAATATTCCTTTAATGAATTTAAAATCATCTCACAAGGTTGCTCTATTAATCATTTAACACCATAAGGATACATTTTAGACCATTTATTTTATTTAAGATTGTTTTTATATAAGATTCTCATATTACATAATTTAATTCAAACAATCCAAGGGGGGAACAGAAAGGTAAGTATTTTGCTTAAATATGTTTTTCTTTAGGAATATAACCTATAACCTGCTTTTTAGCTAAAATGCTTTGTTTTTTCTACCTATGAAATTAAGAAAAAACATAGTCAGATTGTGTTTATTAAGTTCCGTTCCAGTCTCATTACAGTCTTTTAACGTTAACCTGCATGATTTCAAGGCTGCAGCTGAGCTTTGCATTCAGGTTTAAGGTAAAATGTTGAAGAGCAGGTGGCTGGAAGATAAAATCTCTATAAGAACCTTTACGTTTCCGTGACTTTAGATCTAATCCGGATGTTTATGATGTACCTGAGCGGGTCATCCACCTTAATCTGTCCCAATCCGGCAAATAAAGAGCTTAGACTTATAATGACTCCACAGCTCCCACTCCCTCCTGCTGCTGCTCCTGGTCGTCCACACGGATAACTGAAGATGCGGATAAAGACGGAAATCTCTGAAGCTCAGGTATTTATGGCCCCGCTCCCCTGCCTTTTCATCACTGCATCATGCCTGCTTCATGAAGGGAAGAGTCTCAGCCACTGCAGAGCGCCAGTTTCAAGAAGAAGCTGCTGGACCTCCACCCTACTTCAGATTTTTTTCTCTTTTCTTTGGCTGTTTGGCACTGGGATTGTTTAAGGGCAGCTTCTCCTGCAGGAGGATGAGGCAGAACAAATACATTATTTACAGATCAATTCATCAGTTTCCGTCTGAGCTGAGGCTGTATCGTAACCAGGCTGTGAACAGGTCAAGCATGGGTATGATACGACCTCAGTTCGGAGGGGATTCTCTGCATCTTCTGGTCAGAAAGGAGGGTTTTTTTTTTCTCACTAAAGCCTCAGAATGTTTCCATTTCCCGTTGATCTGGCATTTCCCTCTGACCGGTGGTTTAATCAGAGCACATTTTGTGCACGGCTTGTTTGCAGAAGCAGCTCATTCTGTTCTGGTATGTTGATCTGCAGCAAAATAACATGCATGAATAAACTCTCTGTGCTTCTAGTTTGATTTTATGTTGTTTGTATTTTGTATAACTTTTGTAGCTTCAAAAATCATGGTTTAAAAAGTGTAAATAAACTGTCCGACAAGGGTTGCTTAGACTCCCACTTTTATTTTACATGCCGGATAGAGCAGAATGATTGAAAGTACTGTGTGATGCTTTGCTCTAGACGGGACAATTTAAACCTACTATTTCACTCAGTCAACGTATCAGAAAATGTTTTCATTTAGGCCGAGCAGACAAAAGGAAACTGTAAAAACTGCACAAATAAAAAGGTTTTAGCAGAGAGCCTTGTGGAACCCCAGTGGAGGATTTTCTGACATGGTTATTCAAAAGTATGCTTAAGAGATAAATATTATTAATAAAAAAGAGGTCTGCTTTTTATCTCCGGAATGTGGTTGGCAGAATCAGGATCTGGTAGGTTACCCAAGCTGCAAAGTGTTTGGCTCAGAACTACTTCAAGTGAGGAGAGGTCCGACCTTCCACCAGAGCTGCCACTCAGCTCTGCAGTGAGGATCATCAGGTCTGACCAACCCTCCATTCTGGTACAGGTCTAGTATGATGATAAGAACCTACCATCTCTGCAGACCCCGCACATCACAGGGCTGCTTCATGCATTAAGTGAGACAATCGCACAATTTGGCCAATTTTCATGCCACACATGACTCCAGTGTAGACCTGTTGGGACGCCTTTAAAAGTTGCTTTTTTTATCTCTGCTTCTGTCTCCTTGAACCCCAGTCGGCCTCAGCAGATGGCCACTCACCCTGTGTCTGGTTCTGCTGAAGGTTTCTTCCTGTTAAAAGGGAGTTTTTA